ATTAACAGGTATGTTTTTAAATTGATAAATTAGATCGATTTTGTAGTTAACTTTTCTTTGCTAAATGTATTTTAAATATATTATCTTTTACATTTTGGCTTATTTTGTCTTTCAAGTAATATGAATATTTATTATGTTGCGGTGTATTTCGTACATACTTCATGGTTAAGGGAAAACGTAACCTGAAGCCTAAATGTGTTCCACATAAGGTAAATTTATTGAATGATGTTAGGTGTTTTGATTTTTGGAGATTTTTATAATTTCCTTGGTTTTATGCATCGATTTAGTTTGTGTATTATAAATGATGTTTTTATGTTTTTCATACAAGTGTTGAAAACAATTGGGAGATACAGAATGTGGATATTTTGTTATACGGTATAGGTTCGAGATTATATCACTTGACATTACCGACTCGTTCGAAGAGGTAAGTTTTTTATTAAAATCAACTTTTTTTTTTGTATTTGAAATCGCACAATTCAATACAGGTTATAGTGATAATATTTGTTTGTATCATGTAGGCTTTCAACATTGATCAGCCATATTCGGACGAAGACATTGAAAATATAAAATGCGGTGGTCGAAGTACTTTCTTGAGGTTACTTCATTAGGAAAATAGACTTATCAGTTTGCTTACGTTTTATGGAATCTGAACTNTTATAACTGTGGTTGATGACTATTGTTGGTGTAGTGCATATGAAAATTATTGTTATAACTTGGCGTTGTTGAAATATTTTGGTTGTTATTATTTGTCATGTGGGTTTTTGTTGAATGAGAATATTTTGAATGTATGAATGTTATTATTTTGCAGTAATAGTTTTTTAGATTTATAGGTAAAAAAAATATATACTTAAATAAAATTGTTGTAAATGCTTAATTTTACATCGGTTTTTATAAAGCCGATGCAAAAAGATTATTTTGACAAAAATGTTTGATGTTGGTTTTCATAGTAACCGATGTGAATACGACTTATATGACATCGGTTATTTTGATAACCGATGTTATATGTCTTTATTTACATCGGTTTTTATCGATAACCGATGTATATTCAACCTTTTTACATCGGTTTGTATAAAAACCGATGTTAAATGTCTTACTTTACATCGGTTGTATAAAAACCGATGTTAATATAATCGATTTTTTCCATTATAACATCGGTTATTTGGCAAAACCGATGTAAACAAGTTTTTTTTCACAACGGTTTGTAACCGATGTAAAAAATACAGACTTTTATCATCGCCTATTTCAACATCGATTATAAAAATGGGTTTTAACCGATGTGAATATGATTTTTAACCGATGTAAAAAGTGTTTTTTCCACTAGCTGATAAAATATACAAAAGTTATTGACTTTTAAATACATTTACAAAATAATGGTTATATGCAATTAATACATGTAATATGACCATAAATAATCAACATATTTATGGATAATACGGACCTAATTTTGGATTGAAAGTAAATTAAAATCTATCCAATCCTCGAAGCATGTAATTTTGCCACATAGGATCTCGAAGCATGCGAGCCTGCCACTTAGCTCAACACGTTCTGATTTAATATATAGGGGGGGATAGTCGAGCAGAGTGATTTATGTTTGAGTTCATGCTCGTTCAATAAATGAGATAAAGGCTTGCCTTTTTAAAATTCATGAAAGTTC